ACAGACAGACAGACAGACAGACAGACAGACAGACAGACAGACAGACAGACAGACAAGGACTCATACTGAGAGTTCTGATATTCCACAGGAAAACCCTTTGGCAGAGTTTCGAAGACTTGCCAAATTTCTGGGCAAAGACTACGAGGACGACCATTTGCAGCAAGTCATTAAAGCAACCAGTATAGAGACCATGAGGGAACAGAAAGGTTTTCTGTACTCAGACAACTCTGGTGCAATCATGTTTCGGAAAGGTAGCTGTTTATCGTTGGCAAGCTTTTCAATTATTGTTTTAAGCCCAATTAGCAAACCCTTTCAGGAAAGAAAAATACACCTTTCTTTGATTTTATTTACAATGTATCTTCGTCGTAATATTAGGTCTTTTCTAGGGGGTGGGGGAAGAAAAGGTGGACTGTATATTTCACGTAGATATGGACATCTTTTGATGTGCTAAATGTCGTTATTTAGATTGAAACAAATAAAGCCATAACGTTAGACAAAACGGGACTGAGAACTACGCTGCAACTACATTATTTTAGATATTTCAAGAGGCGGCCTTCAAACTTATCTTTTACGTCCAGTCCGGGCTGAGAGACATACAACACCCCCAATAGAAAGACGGAGATTTTCGATAAAATTCCTCCCCACACAAGAATCGAACTTAAGTGTCCTGCATGGGACGGTGAAGCGCCAATGGGCCAAATCTACTTTTTGTGAGAACCTGTTATATTGCGTCTTGTTGGGCAGGAAATATATTAATGGAACGATTCGTTTTCTATCCCCCAGGCAAAGTTGGAGACTGGAAAAATCACTTCACAATTGCCCAGAGCGAGTGGTTTGATCATGTGACCAGGACCCGGATGGGTCACTCGAAGTTGTACAACTTTAGATATGATCTTTGACGCAAAAAAGGTGCATGAAGGTATAACTTTAGATAATATGATTTTTGACACATACTGCATGAATGTACAACTTTAGATGTGATTTTTGACACATACTGCATGAATGTACAGTTTAAGATAATATGATTTTTTTGACTCATGCTGCATGGATGTGCAACTTCAGATATGATCTTTGACACATACTGCATATATGTACAGCTTTGGATATGATCTTTCGCACAAAAATGCGGTATGAATGTAATGAGGTGGTTTTTGTATTGATGCTGAATCTTTGTGTAATTACTGATGTTCTGGTTAAAAATCTACTCAAAATTTTTCGGGTAGAAAAATAAAGTTTATCCTAAGAACTTCAGATGGCCGGTATTCTGTGCAGTTCCCAACCACTCGCTGGCAAAAATGTTGCGTCGCCGGTGTTGTACAGTTTACAGTCCGTGGGCGTTTTTGTGGGGGGGTTTGTTGTTGTTGTTGTTTTGGTTTTGGATTTTCAGGCGCGAGGGGGCGTGTTGTGTATGTTTTTTTTATTTTTTGTTTTTGTTTTTGTTTAGTTTTTTGTTTGGAGGGGTGTTATTGTTTGTGTTGTTACCAATCAATAATTAAGCAAGAGAGACTTTGACAAAATGCCGTACGCGAGATGGTGTTTCGGTGGTGAAGTGCTTTGAAGGAGACACTGGAAGAAATAGGTCAACTCTTTTTTTTTCTTTTATTCAAAATCCATTGTAATGGTCCTTCTACCGGCCGCAGGTCATCGATAAAAATAGGGATATATACTGTCGGATAACATTTTTGTCTATTTTTATCATTTGAATGATAAGGGTTTGAGTTTGAGTAAAGAGTAGCACATCATGCAACAAAATAACTGTCATTTAGCGCAGGAAAGAAGTAAGACAGGTAGAAAGAAAATAACAGAGGGAAAGAAAAGAAGTAGAACCTATCAGTGGCACTCTCCCCCCACCTGCAAATCAAATGGTATTTTTCGACTTTGTTGAAAAACGTTTAAAAATAAGAACAGTGAGAAGGGTACAGTGTGGATGGCCACAGACTGAAACACACTGCTAGGCGTGAATGCACATAGATCTATTACGGTAAAGGTTCAAAGGAGGATAACATTGTCCAGGATTTAGTGGAACAATACCAGATAGAAGAAATATAGGCAACTGTTAACTCGGGTTGCTCGTCTGGTAAACACGTTTTGGTGTGACATTTATTTAATACCCTTGAACCTTTTCGCGCACCATCGTGCGGCTTTCAAAGTGTGCACTCCCAAAGAAAGCCGTAATTTATGTGCACTATTCCCTGGACACGCGCGATTTGAGGGGTATTTTCAAAGAAATGAATCTTCACTGTTTTAAATTATAGACGTTGGTATATGGTGTCAAAGTAAAGTTCAAATCGGTCTGCAAACCTATAGGCCAATGCTTACCTAAATAATGAGTTCTGCGAATGTAACGTCCATCTCTGATTGTTCCACATAAAGTCGATTATACTTGGAACCTCCTCAAACAGTCCGCCCAAAAACAAAGTAATTGAAATTTGAACTAAGACCATCTGCACCCTATCTGATATTACAACAACTTAGCTGACAACACAATCATATTGACATGACATGTAATAATATTATGCTTTTTCAGTTTAACTGACCACTGGAATATCAGAATCAGTGTCAACATATGGGACACAACCACCCCCCCCCCCAACCTACTCACCCACAGTGGTTGGTCTAAAGTCTTTTACTCTCGATTTGTTGTTTCTTTCCACCACTCTAGATATTTCTTTCAAGCATTGAATGATCGTAAGTTTGTCTTTGTGCTTGTCTTTACTTAAATTTACACCCTTCAAACAAAGTTCGTGAGTGGTTGGCGGGTGCTCTGGTGTGGTTTGCTCCTTCTTTCCTATCGAACATCTGTCGTCCTTATCTCCCCTTCTTCTTTTTTATGTTTGTTACTCTCTTGTAACACCTCTAATCTTCTGGCGCTCATATGACCATATTCAGTTGCGAGCGCCGAAAAACCTCTACTAAAACACACAAAAAAACAAAGTTCAAAATCGTAGTCAGCTGTTTCTCTACATTATTCATGATGCTATTATATAATATTGCTATCACGGATAACACCTATCTCATTACATGTATATCTTATTAATTGTGAGCTATAATATTCTTGAACTTAGAATGGGAAATTAACCCATTTCGTCTCCTAAAGCAGTGGCAAATAATTTTTACTTCTAGTGAAGCACTACAAAGAAATGAACACCTTGGAAAGTGTACCTGTTAGGATGTTTAAAAAACAAAAGAAGGAAAATCACTGTAGAGGAAGAATAATAAGTGGGAAGACAATTATTAAGCAGTAAGCGATAAAACAGAATACGTCATTGCATAATTACTCTTCCATTGATCCGATGCTTGTCAGAGGGTGAAATAATAATAGTATTACAAACTCACCGATTATAATGATCTCTTCACAAAGACGCCAGTGTTTCGGAGAGCACTTTTTATACTATAATATATGTAGTCAACTATTTGCGTACTTTCCTTAAAAGTTTTTTTTTTTCCTTTTGCAGAAGGATTAGAATGAAAGTAGATGGCAAACAAAGCACCAAGAATAATTATATGTTCTTACGAATCTGGTTAATGTTTCTAGATAGATTACTCGTAAACCTTAGTGCCAAATCGGTTTTTAATTCAAACATGCAATACAAGTGCCAGCGTTCAAATTTGTGAATGTTGGAATCATACGTGTTAAGAAATTTCAGGGGCTTAGAGGAAATTTTCTCGTAGAGAAAAGCGAAGTGTGTCAATTTTAAATGCGTGAATCTAGACCTTTTGAATATCGGTAACATCTTTACCGATTATACCACTCCCATTAGTCATCATTTAGAAACACCGTATCTTCCCCCAAGAATATTATAATATTACGTGGTGCTTTCTCACAGAGTAACCTGATCAAATGATAGTAAAGTTCATGTCGAGTAAGACAGCGGGCCTGCTATCTAATCTTACCTAAATGTTGATTGGCTACTCAGTTGTTGAGTCGGTTTGTTTATAAGTTCGTCGTTGAGCGAGGACTTCTGTCGACGCTTTACAAGGTTACGGCGTGTCGTCCTCTGGAAGGGTATTCTATACACGGGGTGTCTTTAAAAAAATGAGAGGACGCATTTAAAGGGCAATAACTCGGTTATCCTGGAACCAATTTCATCAGCAGTTTGGAGAAATAAAATTCAGCCATGAGGACGTAAACTTCATCAAAACGTAAGAAATCAATCAAAACGTTCGAAGAATATAAAATTTTAAAAATTCCAACCAAAATTTAGTGAAACAAGATTTTGAAACTTCATTGAAAATCAACCATATCGTTCCATTTCAAATAGTCACTATTTGTGCATTGAATAACACATTTATACAAAACTGATACTGCAAAATAAACTTTGGGCGGTGGGGTCTATTTAAATCTCCAGGTGTTGACCATTTCTCTCCCTTCAACTCCAATATGCAACTGGAAACTTAGAATAACCCCGCGACATGCTTCTGGTTCGATTCTTCGGACATGATGTTCAACACTAGGTTTTAACTCTTTGATTGTTTGTGGGTTGTTTCCGTATACGCTGCATCTCAATAACCCCCCTCTAAAAAGAGAAAAAAAAACTAGAAGTAATAATTGAAGAGGCTCAAGTTAAGGAAAATGTGGTGACCATTCATGTGTCAACTTTCAGCCTATGAGGTGTTCTCTAAACATTTCTTACAACCACACAAGGACCACTCTTGGGGTGTGTGGTGGGGGTCCCATCCCACTGGAACCAAGCCTCTACAGCATAACACCTTCTCCCAAAACTTCTATTCAACTTTCTCAGCACGGTGAGATATTCATCAGATGCGGTTGCTGTGGGTTTACCGCCCTTATCCCGAAACCAGAACATGCCGATCACGCCCTAGATCTAGTAGCTGAACATTTTTAAGAAGTAAAATTTTGCGTCTTATCCAACTTTCGTTGAAGTTTTAAACTCTAACATATTATTATCTCAAACGTGTTGAATAATGTTTTCATATTTGCAAACTTGATGTCTTTCACAGTTGAATCGTATTTGTTCAAAGTTTTGTTGGAATTAGTGCAAAGATGGATGAGTTCTTGCCCTTTAACTAAGTCCTTTTTTTTAGACATCCTGAATTTGTATTTTCCTCCTCTCAGCCAATAATAATAGATCTATTAACAACAACAACACGATATGCTTGGTATTCAATGTGAATGATAGAAATTTGCAGACAGTATTCTACATATTGCAGTTTGGGGACAAAGACGGTGTATTGGGAGAAATAGCAGGCCATGGGAGTTATCGTTAAGTTCCAGGAGCCTAAAGTAGATAATGATGCAAGAAGATAGGCGAGATTTCTAACTTAACAGTTTAACTTTGTTGGTCATTTAGTTTAGTGATTGGTTGAATCATTGGTTGGCAGGTTGTTTGGTTGGTTGGTTGGTTGGTTGGTTGGTTGGTTGGTTGGTTGGTTGGTTGGTTGGTTGGTTGGTTGGTTGGTTGGTTGATTAGTTGGTGGGTTTGCTGCAGAAAGTAAGTAGTGGCATAATATTATGCACTTACATTTTGAAGTTGTGTCATCAAGATGTTCTGATAGTGCAACAATTCATTATAACCAGGACGTCGGGAAATCTCTTTTGGTTTATTCATAGATAAAGTTTCAGACGTTCCAAAAGGGCCGACATGGAAATACATAACGTGACGTCAGTGCCACACGGAGCGTCCTATCTGGTAAGCCTAGCAACACTGTACACAATAGAAACTATTAACCTTGTCGTACTCAGTGGATTAGTTTCCATCTTCGGCGTCATTAGCAACCTTGTGAACCTCTCCATCTTCTGGAGACACGGTTTCCGTGAAAGTATCAACGTGGGACTCACCGCTCTGGCCGTCTCTGATTTGGGAACAGTTATCAGTGGCGCGATTCTCTCGGTCTGTTTCAACCCTTTGATCCCTTACTCAGAGATGGGAGTGAATAGTAGAGACGTTCAGTACCTCGTCGGGGCACATCCACGCTTCTGCTTTGCTCGCATCACGGGACTCATCACCGTCTACATCACATTAGAGAGGTGTCTTTGTGTGGCCGTGCCTCTACACGTCAAGAGAATTCTCACACCTCGTCGGACATTCGCCGTCGTCGTCCTCATCTTCACCCTCATTTTTCTCATCGAGACCCCTATCTACATGGCTCACAAACTTGACTGGAAATTCTCCTACGCTCTAAATAGATCAGAAATAAGTTTGGTCTCGATGTCGAACGCAGCTGAGCTGGAAAACTTGAGCTTTGGGCTCAGTGTCTGTGTCCAATTCAGCTCGTTTGGCCTTCTCCTCATTCTGACGTCAACTCTCGTCCTTCTGCTCAAGAAACGCTCCGAGTGGCGTTTGCAGACGGTCTCTGCCGGACCCTCCGACAAAAATAACGTTTCCCGTCGAGAACGTGGGGCCATCAGACTGACCTTAATGGTATCTACCATCTTGATTTGTTTTCTTTTCCCCAGCACGCTTCTCATCATCACCAGTTTTCTGGAACCAGAGTTCAACTTCGGTCGTCGTTACCAGAATATGTATTTCAGCGTCTGGACGATTGTTTCTCTTGGGGAAGTGTCCAACTCAAGCGTGAACATCTTCGTCTACTACAAAATGAACTCTAGATACAGAGAGACGTTTCGTGGCGTGTTTTGTACAAAGAGCTCTAGTAAAGAAGGCAACAAGACTCCAGTGAACGTTTCGCACACGGAAAAATTATAAGACTATTAAGAATACTACATAGTATTGTTGACTGATATCAAAGAATGTTGGCTGGACTCCAAAATGAGAACAAGCAGCGTAAGTTTGTACCATGTTTCCCTTAAAAATGCATAACAGTTTAAGCGTATACAGTAAATAAAAACGTGTGTTCAAAATACAATCGTCTGGACCCTAATATGATAAGCCGTTTTGGTCCAAAGTCACTTTGTGGAAAGAATGATGTGAGTTTAATTAACATTGCAAGATCAGTTAGAGAAGCAAGGATTTTATTTACAACGTCTCTTTCCGATGGTACAGATCAAAGTGTGCTGAGAGCCACCAAAACACCCAAAACAACCCAAGTTTTAAAACAACTTATTAGATGTTCAAAGCAAGACCATCCGCATCATATGTCAGCATTGTACCAACTGAGAACACGAAGTAGTCACGTAACGGAAAGCATTTGTTAGGAACATAATGTTATTGTTTTAAAGATAACTTCGGCACGCTGTTCAAATTATCTGGGCCTAGAAAGTAAATGTAAAATTGTCTGGGCCTAGAAAGTAAATGTAAAACACCGTGGTGAAATCAGGCGCTCGTCCAAAAAATGAAATGGATAGAACCCCTTTGGATTGTTGTTGTTGTTGTTGTTGTTGTTGTTGTTGTTGTTGTTGTTGTTGTTGTTGTTGTTGTTGTTGTTGTTGTTGTTGTTGTTGTTGTTGTTGTTGTTGTTTGGCTCAACACCTTTTATGTCCATGGAAAAAATACATTTCTGTGTGGATCTTACTGAACAACGTTGATCATAAGCACAAAAGATGTAAATTTGCAATTTTCAAAGTCTTTCAAGCTTTAGAAGTCACCAAACTTTGGCTTACCATTTTCTCGTTAGTTTTTACCTCAGACACCAAACGACCCCCACTGGGGTAGTGCCGAAACAACACTTTCATCTCGTTGATTAGACACTAGCATCAGCATCAGTAAATGTCATTGAAGGAGGCGGTTATGAGGCTGAAGCAAAAGTATGAATTGACTGTAGGGATTGATCTAAAATCTCTGTCTGTCTGTCTGTCTGTCTGTCTGTCTGTCTGTCTGTCTGTCTGTCTGTGTGTCTGTCTGTCTGTCTGTTTGTCTGACTGTCTGTCTATCTGTCTGTCTATTTGTCTGTCTGTCTATAAATATTAACACAAGCACAGTTTTTTAGTAGAACAAAATAAGACAGTCAGGGAACTATTGACCAATAATGAGTTTCTCAGACAATGAGACCTGGCAATAATATTGAGAACTTTCGTTTTTAGCTCTCGCTCGTCTCGTAGTTATTATTTTATTATAGTAGAGAGTTTTACGGCGCTCGCAACTGCATAAGGTCATATGAGCGCCAAGGGGTGGGTGTCAACAGAGAAGTCTTTACAGGGAATCAGACTTACTCTGCTCACCTCTCTAGCTTCAACAGCACAAGGTCTGCTTCAGCTATCAAGGCACCCCGGAAATAGCAGGTCACAAGAGTGTGACAAACATATAAAAGAAGTAAGGAAAATGACAATAGTAAAGATTAGGAAAGAAAAAGCAGCAGTTCCCTCTTGTAGATCAGGCACAGTTATGAGCGTGACATGAATAAGCCCATTTACAATTCTACTGTGCTTGAACGAGAAATGTCCCCCCTTTGGGAATGGCCTAAAGACACTACAGTCAGCGGCACTGCCCCGGAGGTTCACCCATGTCTCGTAGTTGCAAGAAATAAACAAAAAGATCACCGTGCTATCAACTCTCCTTATCTCTTTTTCTGTATAAAAATGCATGCATATAAAATACGCGGGCAAATAGTATGAATGAAAGAATGAATAACTGGTCCTGGGCAAAAGACATAACACGCACATAAACACACACACACACACACAGAGAGAGAGAGAGAGAGAGAGAGAGAGAGAGAGAGAGAGAGAGAGAGAGAGAGAGAGAGAGAGAGGGGGGGGGAGAGAGAGAGACAGACAGAGAGAGAGACAGACAGACAGAGACAGAGAGAGAAAGATAGAGAGAGAGAGAGAGAGATAGGCAGACACACAGAGATACAGAGAGAGAGTAAGAAAGAAAGAGAGAGAGAGGGGGGGAGAGAGAGGGGGGGAGAGAGAGAGTGTATGTGTGTGCGTGTGCGTGTGTGTGTCTGAGTAAGAGACTGAGTAAGAGATTGAGACAGAGAGAGAGAGGGAGAGAGAGAGAGAGAGAGAGAGAGAGAGAGAGAGAGAGAGAGAGAGAGAGAGAGAGAGTTTGATGTGATATTGTCCTTCCACTCACTTTTGATCCACGATGGTGTCTCACTCTCAGCATTCGGTTGCTCATCAATGTCGACCCTTTTGTCTCTCAGGCTCAGGGAAGATTGATCTAAGTACTCAGCTGGGGGTTTTCAAGTCTCTTTCTTCCACCACTGAGCTCTGTACGTTTACAACGACGATCCAAAAAGGTCTTTGGGGGTTTTTTGTACACTATCTCCACACAGTTCAAGATTTTTCGTTCATGATATTCAAGAACTCTTTTCAAACCGATTATGCTTTTTGTATTCACAACCGAATATTAAAATAAGTACTTAGAATAAGTTAGAACGGACGTTTTCCATAACGTTTCTGCATTCACTGTACAACCCTAGCTTTATAATATCCAAATGCATTTATTATTTGGGATACGTGTGGGAGATTTCAAGGCTCGTCCTAACTAGGGTGTGTCGTGCGGGAGGGTTTTGGGCAGGTCAGTGAGTTGAGAAAAAATGGCTTGTGGGGATGGGTTCACTGTTAGGTTACGGTCGCTGGGTCAGACTTTCGTATACTGCCAATATTGAAAAGGCCTTCCCTCGGCGATGGATATTCATTTGAAAAACTGCTTCGACTCTACGCAACACTGCCGAGGACGGAAGCTGAGAAGCTGGCTGACGGCGGCGGGAATGAATCCGAATACATGGCGTCCCGCTCAAGACGTTTGCCACCTGAAACGGATAGATGATGTATTCTGTTTTTTTCTTTTTCTTTTCTTTTCTTTTTTTTTTGCCGTCGCCCCGGTCAATGCCAGAGGGCTCGAGGATAATGTAGATCGGTGGTATCGAGCAGATGAGCTAACTGGCTTCCAAAAAAAAAAAGTCCTGAACCTTTCCGCACGGGGGCTTATGAAGTACGGAACAGTTTTTGTCATATACCTCTTGTCAAGACTGGGGGGGGGGGGGGGGGGGCTTATGTGCCGGAATCAGAGTTCACAATCCCAAAAACGAGTTATACCACGTCTGTTATTGGATTTCCAGATTTATCTCCCTATCACAAGAAAGGGCTTTTTAGGGCCATAAAATTGCGGGGGGGGGGGGGGGGGAGGGGGGTTCCACTTGACCATGGCCTTCCCCGCATCATTTAAATGAATACCACACCAAAATGTGTTTACCACATGAGCAGCAGTTATTTCTTCCTTCTGGCATTGTTTCACTAAATCCTGGACAACGGGACCCTCCTTTGAACCTAGAACCTAATATGTGCCTTTACGCCTAGCAGTGTTTCGTAAGAGTTTTGCGGCACATGCAACACAATGAGGTCATATAAGTGCCGAAGAGTAGATATATTACAAACACAAAAAAAGAAGGAGGAGAGATAAGGACGATAGATGTCTATCAGTGTGTTTCAGTTTATGGCCATCCACACTGTACCCGTCTTAACTGTTTTTATTTGAAAACTTTTTACCGCAAATGGGAAAATACCCTTTGATTTGCGGGCGGTTGGAGGGTGCAAGTCAAACAATGTTTAAAATGTGGCTAACGCTTCTCTGCCTCATTGTCCATGACTAAGCCCACAAGTCACCTTACCCCTTATTTCTTCGGTTTCCTTTAAGAAATATTGTCTTGTGCAGATGCATGGATCATCGTCAAATGTTGACGGACGAACTATTATTAAATATTTAGATGTGTCTTTAGAAGAAAAATGTAATGAAAAATCGGAAAGTCTAATGAAAAGAGAAGAAAGAACAGAAAACATTGATTTAGAATATACTGTCGATGCTAAACTAAACGCCTCAATTCACTCGGCTGGATTTGAATAACAGCCAAAGTCTTTATACCAATGTGCTAAGGCTGAAAAGATTACAGTGTCGTCAAAACAGACGAAGGATAGGCGTATTAAGTCTGCCTGTCAGTTTAACACACATACAAAAATTACTTTGGTGGTATTATGTTTGCCCAGGACTCTACAATATGCACGGCAATTTTAATTATAATGGTTCAACCAACACCTCCCCCCCCCCTCCCCCCACCAAACAAACAACTGAACATAAAAAGTACGAAGACGTAAAGACAAGAACTGGCTTCTGTCGTAGAACGATTAGGCTCTTTGCCTTCACCGTGGAAAGTTTTTTTCCCTCCAAGTTTAATACTGAATCGACTGCAGTCGAACCTGCTCTAACAACCACGACGTGCCCAAGACAATCACTTGTACATATACATCCACTTCCTATTTCCCCACTTTTTTTTGGTACATTTTAATTACACTGTCCAAGAGGTTTATCTGTCTAAAATTATCTACAATCGAACCTTCTCTAACGGCCACCTGTATAAAACAATCACCTATAAAAACGGGAACTTTCCATTTCTTCCCTTGCGTATTTTTTTACGTCCACATCATGACACCATATTAAACAGCCACCTGTCCAACACGGCCACTTTTCCCCTCGACAATGAATGGCCGTCTTAGACAGTTTTGACTCTGTTTTCTCCTTACAAGGGGTGGTCGTTTTGGACAGGTTCGACTGTGTCTCTCTTTGTCTGATGGGATGTTGTACGGTACCTCACTCAGCTTGGATTGGCCCTGAGTGACAGACAGGCGGTGTCGAAGCAGTCTTCCTCCTGGCTGATCTATCTTGGATCGATGGGGGCGTAAAACGTTTCGTCGGTCGGCTGTCCAGATGTACTAAACTTGCAAATTGCAGTTCTTAATCTGTAGTATTGGTTGTATATACAAGTATTTGTGAATTAATTGGTCACAATCCAATTTCTAAACATTGAAAGAGAACCCCCCCTAAAAAACCCAAAACAAACAAACAAACAAACGAACGAACGAACGAACGAGCAAACAAATAAGGAAACAAACCAACATACAAACAAACAACAAAATATAATGTAGGTACACTTTGAGTAAAAGAATTGAAGCAGCTTTTTCTCTCTCT